ACACGGTTGATTCACACGTATGCTTTCCCGGGTTTTCGAAAAAGGAAAAAAATATACAAGGAAGGTTGTCACAGACATCGGTCGTAAATATTTCACCCCACGAAGAAAACAATATTTTAACAAGTCTTGTTTCTGCTGCTGAACGTGAACTCGAAGGATCGAATGATGTTCAGTTGCCAGTTTCAAATGAGGAATCGTTTCCAAAAAATACTATGGAGAATTTTGGATCAATTCAAGAAGCAAGTGTCACGCCGAATATCAGTTTTATTCTGGACACAATAATTCCGAGCAGCACTCCTAACATAGTCTTCGAAGATCAGGTTCATTTCATCGAACAAGAACCCAATGAATCATCTGACAAGTTTTTCAGTTTATCTGGGATAGCATTCACAGATATAACCAATTTAGTTGAAGGGATGGATATATCAAATATATTTTCTTTCAAGCCAGATAGCTCAAACGTTACTACAGATGAATCAATAATCAAGAGCATCAGTAGCGGAGAGTCCGTAATTATTCCACCACAAAAACAGATTCGTTTTCATTTCACCCCCGAAGAATCAAAAAAAGAAAATAATCGGAACGCAGATCGATGTGAAATTCAATTTTCCTCTTCATCTACCTCAAATGATGGGCATCATGATGAAAGCCAAAATATCAACTCCGAATATGATTCATTCCGAAGACCGTATAATGTGGATCATGTATTAACATGTTCGAAAATGAGAAAGAAAAACTATGGAGTGAAACAGAAAACGAGCGAGAACGAGACATTTGACGCTATAGGTGCCCCAACGGATGGATTGACCGTCGATATATGGTCTGATCAAAGAGATATTGGAACTTTTAGTTCATATCCATCTAATTCATCAAGTAACGACATGAATGGCAATAAATTGATTGGACACGAAACAAAAAGTAGATATTCTAAAAAAAAAGGATTTCCTTGGCTAAAAAAAAGCCAAAGCAGAAAGAAAAGCACAATTAAAGTAGATAAACGACACGCATCAGCATTCGAAAATAGCTCTGATAATGAAATGAAATCAAATGGGAGTAATGGAGTACAATCGACGATTTCTTCTTGTATTGATTCGTCTCGCCATACGAACATAGATTATTCTGGAGGAATACTCCCAACATCGAGTAGTAGCTGCACAGAGTCTGAATGTCCACCAATAAAGCGACTTCGAAAACGACGTTATGAAAATTTTAACGATTCATGTGAGAGTGACATGTCTCTGGAAGACCCTTTCGCAAATTCTGAGGATGACAAAGACTATGTTCCTTCGTCGGAATCACATATATCTGATTCAATGATTGGCGATATTAACAGTGAGGAGTCGTTCAAATTCGGAGAAGAATCTCCTGAAATGAGTAAAAACAATAAGTCAAAAATAAAAGTGATTGAAAAAAAGAAGGGAACGAATAAAAATCAAAAACTCATCAAAAATAAACAAAATGAGTCGGACTTTGATAAGGAAACAATAACGATAACAACTTCACAAAGACATGCTCGATCTGGAAAAAGAATGAGAAATAAATCTTATTGCTGTTTCCTATGCCACAAAAGTGTTATCCATTTATCGAAACATCTAATTACAGTACACTCAAATGAGACAATGATAGCTAAAATTCTTGCACTTCCCAAAAATTCTAGATCCAGACGGGTAGAATTTGCAAAAATTACCCGTGAGGGAAACTTCTATCACAATTGTGAAGTTCTCCAATCGAAAAAAGGTGAATTGATTTTATTGAGACGTCCGACGCCAGATGAACAGAAAAAATATACCTATATCAACTATGGACCCTGTCCAGACTGTTTGGGATTTTTGTTGAAAAAAAAACATGAGGCATCATCTGAAATATAATTGCATTGAAAGAGCAAAATCTCTTGAAAGTCGTAAACCCGTTGGAGAAAGTAACGCTATGCTCGCTGGTATACATAATTTAGTTGATTCATTGGAATTTTCTGTTCATATAATTTCGAAAATGAGGGATGATGAGATCACGAAGGAATGCAGGGAAGATAAACTCATTCTGAAGTTTGGTTCAATAATGTTCGAAAAATATAATGTTACACAAGCTGAATTAATTAGACAATCAATGCGTCAATTAGGAAGGCTGATAACTCAAATAAAAAAAAATCATCAAAATATTGATAACCTCGCTCATTGTTTGAAACCATCGAATTTTGAATATATAATAGAAGCTACGAAAAATATATGCTCCACAACTTCTACTCTCACAAACAGACCCCAATTCAAAACTCCTTCTTTGGCACTGAAAATTGGGCATTCATTGAGAAAATGCGCCAATTTCGAAAGAGGGACCGCTTTACGGTGCGGTGATATTCGAAAAAACAGGGAATTGGAAAATTTCCTGTCTTTAATGGATATTGAATGGAATATTAGAATTTCTTCGAATGCGTTGAATACATTGCATATAAGAAAACTGAACTGCACGCAACTTTTACCAATAACCAGTGATCTGATAAAGCTCAACAAATACATTGAAGATGAAATGAAAAGGAGTATGAACGAATTCCAGAATTCAAATGAAGTGACACCAAATCACTGGGCTACCCTTGCTTCCTTGACTCTGAGTAGAATAGTCATATTCAATAAACGCAGATCCGGCGAAATGGCTAAAATGACGATAGATCATTACACCATGAGACCGTTGTGGTCAGAGCAAACTACGGCAGAATCAAGAAATGCATTGAGCGAATTTGAGAAACGACTGGCAAATCATTTCTGTATAGTTGAAATACCTGGCAAAAGAGGCAAAAAAGTTCCGGTTCTTTTATCTCCAGAAATGAAAACTGCTATAGATCTCTTGTTGAAAACGAGAACGATGGGAGGAATATCGAAGGAAAACCCCTTTGTCTTTGCACGCGCTGGAAATTCCTTGGGCCATATGAGAGGCCACGACTGCATAAGAAAATGTATTGCTAATGTTGATTTACAGATGCCGGAAAATATTAACGGTACAAAATTGAGAAAGTATATTGCTACAGTTTCCCAAATAATGAACATGACAGAAAATGAAACTGACTGGTTGGCGCGACACCTGGGCCATGACATCCATATCCATCGAGAGTTCTATAGACTTCACGAGAGTGCTGTCGAACTCACCAAAATCAGTAGGCTCTTGATGGTAATAGACAACGGAGAAGCACACAAATTCCATGGTAAAAAACTTAATGAAATCGAACTAACAGGTAATTTTTTAAATGATATTTATTTATCAACTCTCACAAATTCAAAATCTCTTTCAGATTTACCCCAGTTGCAATTGGACGAAGTTGAAGACACATTAGCTGATGCTGAAGCAGTAGAATTCAACGAGCTAGTTCCACTTGAGTTAGATCCTCCACCCGAGTTGAAGGAAGCTTCTTGTTCTTCAAGTACAAGAATAGATAAGAAAAATTTGACTAAGACTGGAAAAAAGTGTATTCAAAAAAGAACATGGACCGAAGAGGAAAGTACTCCGGTTATAAAATTTTTCACGTCTCATATAAAGAGAGGGGCGGTTCCAGGAAAATCTCAATGTGAGGAATGTATTCAAAAACATCCATCACTCTCCCTCAGAAAATGGACGGACATAAAATTCTATATCAAGAATTATATAACGAAAATTAAAAAAAAGGGATCTAAATGATTTTGTATGGCGAGCTGGTATTGAATAAATGTTCTACGTTCATCTTTTTTTTCGAACTCAAATCCCACTATTATGAATATCAATCATATTCCGATTCAATATCCATATCCATATCCATCTGGTTGTCATTGTTCCTCTAACGAAAGTATTCCAGATAAGCTTTTGTTGAATGATGATATTTCATCAGTGTGTTAAATATACTTCTTCTTATACTTATTGGTGGAATATCTGACACACTCATCCCAAAGAATAGAATTTGTGGTATATTCCTCACACAAAATACATGTTGTGCTATGATAGTGGAATATCTAATACACTCATCACGAAGAATAATATTTGTGGAATATTTCGTACACACCCTGGTCCGGTAATATTAGTGGATCCAGGGTGCCACAAATAGTTTATCAAAATATATTTCTTATCCCGGGGGGTTACGCGAAACGAATTAGTTTTCCAGAGTCCTGATTTTTTTCAGCATCACCTCGGCTATATTTCAGAGCTTGCTCCACAAATACCTTTCATGCACGGGATCCACTAATATTATCAAACCTGTATGTGTGTGTGTGTGTGTGTGTGTGTGTGTGTGTGTGTGTGCGCGCGCGCGCGTGTTTGTTTACTCTATGCAAACTACTTTGCACAGACTACATATGGAGGATTATGCCCACTCTTCACCGTGTATGCAATCTATTCTTTAATGAAGGATATCTTTATCGTGCAAATTCCAATGTGTACTTTGTACTAGAAAGTTTGTACTCAGTACACATGAAAGATAATCTGACCCAAGGTCGAACGTTACATTTAAACAATTCAAACATGTCAATAAAATAAAACAAGTTACCACATTAAAAAAGGTTTTGACTCCTCACCGATACAAGGAAGATTATTTCAATCTACATAATTAAATCGTTATATGGTTTGAAATTATAATTTACTGGTAAAAGCCATGTGGCTGCAGACCACAGAGAGAGATAAAAAACAATTGACACTGATAGCTGTCCTGTGATTCAGTTTGAAAAATCGTTCGTTTGTAAGTTTATTTTTAAGTGTGGAACAAAATAGAACAGTTATGTTGCAAGTATGATCAGAGTCATCTGCTGTTTTGTAAGATTATTAATGAGAAAACCCAATGTCAAAAACATGAAAAATTATTATTAAAATGAAGTTAAGCCGTGCCTTAGGGACGTTGTATATTCGTTATTTTCTTTTAACATTTTATTATGAGTTAAGTTACTGAGAATTCAGCATTGTTACTGATTTGAAAATCATGTAAATTTCTATAAATATTAACCCTTAAAAGCCCTGCGTTACATGTAAGTAACAGCCGCAAAGGTGAATAATGAATTTTATTGTGCTTAAACTTTTGCACTTTACGGCTAGATGGCGGTGTCTACCTCACAAGAAAGCACCATATTACTTATTGCAAACGTAATTTACCGGCATTTTGAGGTTTACGAGTGTTCTGAGAGGAGACAAAAAACGGCCGAGTCAAACGTGAATGAAAAATGGAACCGAATTTCGTGTAAGTATTATAACTTATTAAAAACTATATTAGTCAAGGAATACATTTTTGGAATGGAGTATGCAATGAATGTTCGAAGAAAGTGTAAGGTTAGAATTTGGAAAACAATTTTGGTTTTTGGGAAAATTTACCTAAAAGATGAGTGTTACATATAAGTAACGCTAGGACTTCCAATAACTGTGTTTTGGAATTCGCCATCAGGTTCGATTATAGTGAATAATTGAACGAAATATTCTTGAATGAGGTATTTCAAGATGTGTGTTACAATAGTTTTCCACAATATCATTTCAAAATTAGTAAAGTTTGATTATTTTACATAACTTACCACTTATATCGTCTTTTTTCAGGAGAGGGTTTTCGCTACAAGAAGCTCTCGAAATGGCATATAATGATGACTTAGATGTGGATGCAATATATACCGAGCCTCCAGATGTTAACGTCCTAACTGACGAGGAGTCTGGAGATGAAGATGCTGAGGGGGATTTGAACCATTTGCCTTCTAGACAATTGCTAGCTGGTGCTGAAATTTTACTAAGAAATAATTCTAGAATTGACCAGTTGGATGAACCCTGTGCAACCTCAAGTACCGATAGAACGTTTCAAGACAATGTACATTGTAACACTAAGCCTCTAACTAAGGACAAAATCCAACACAAATGGATCCAGGGTAATTTTCAAAACGTTGATAGGTATTTTCCTGAACCTGATTATTCGACATATAGTAAACTCACTCCAGTACAATTATTCGAGTTATTCTTTACTGACGATCTGTTAGAGTTTTGCTACAGGAGACAAAAAATATGCTGCTTTCAAAAATTGTCCCGACCCAACAATTACCATCCAAGAACTCAAATGTGCTATAGCAATACTTATTTTGAGTGGCTATAATGAAAAACCTGGCAAGCGATATTATTGGGATTCTCAGCCCGATATGGGAAATCCTTTGATAATGAATTCAATGAGGAGAAATCGTTTTTTTTTGATATTTTGAGGTACCTGCACTGTGCTGATAATACACAGCCAGATGCCAATGATAAAGGGTGGAAGATTCGTCCAATTATGGACAAATTGAAAGCAGCTTTTTTACAACATTTTGTACCAGAACAAGAAATCAATTCCGACGAGTCAATGGTAAAGTACTATGGGAAACACTCGTGCAAGCAGTTCATCCGGGGAAAACCTATCCGGTTTGGTTTTAAAATGTGGTGTCTGAACAGCAAAGATGGATATTTGATTAATTTCGATTTGTACCAAGGGAAAAATCCCAGGGCCAATACAACTGATGAAGTATTATATGGGAAGTGTTCAGCGCCTCTAAAAATGATGATGAGAGAGATGCCGGAAAACAAAAATAAGCTTCCATACAAAATATACGTGGATAATTTATTTACCAGCGTATATTTACTAAAGGATATGAGAGATGAGGGATACTGGTGCACCGGGACAATGCGAGAAAACTTCTTGCCAAAAGGCATACCTCTTCCTATGAAAAAAACTCTCCAGAAATCTTCAGTTCGCGGAGAACATCACTCCGTGATTGACCGAACCACTGGGATCCTTTTTGCAAGATGGGCAGATAATAATATTGTTACTGTCGCTTCCACATGCCATGGAGTTTAGCCACTCTCTCATGTAAAAAGATACTCGCAAAAAGAGAAAAAAATCATATCAGTTCCACGACCAAATCTGATAGGGAAATACAATGCAGCAATGGGTGGAACTGATTTGATGGACGAAAATATAGGAAGGTATCGCATAGCAATTCGTTCAAAAAAATGGTGGTGGTCCCTACTAACGTGGCTGATAGATGTCTCTATCCAAAATGCTTGGTTTTTATACAAGAAGTCTGGAAAAACTGTCACTCAACTGCAGTTTAGGCGAGAAATTGTCAACACCTACCTAAAAAAATATAGTACAGCGGCAAAAGGAGCTGGAAGACCATCATCTTCACTAACGAGGTCACAAGGACATAGAGTAAGTGAAGCTATTCGATATGATAGAACTGATCATCTCCTTGTTTATGTACCCGATCAAAAAAGAAGGCGGTGCGCTATGGAACTCTGTACCACAAGTGCAAGAACGATGTGCAAGAAATGTGACATTGGCCTTTGTTTGACATGTAATGTGGGTTTTCATACTAAATGATCAAAAAGGTAGTGATAAAGCCCAGCGTTACATATATGTAACACATTTTTTCTACAATTAATCGTATTAAAAAAAAATAAAAATATATTGTGGTAGTTTTATTAACCCTAATTTAGTGCAAAAGTCATGAATATACCTAAATTTTATGAAAAAAAAAATAATTCGGGCTTTTAAGGGTTAAGTAAGAAGACATGAATATCACTGAGGTGATCAATATCTGATCTTTTATTAAGGCAATAATTTGATTGTAATATAAATGACATTTCCAAGAACAACCTTTTGGATGTATTTCTTTCAATTGCTAAGATTTTAGTTGAAGTGTAGTCCATATTTAAACAGGTTTCCAGGTCTGCTTTTTAGACCCATAAGATTGTTTTACAGGGGTTTTTATAAGATATAATAGAGATGCCCCTCCTACTTCGAAGTTTATATGCCATGATCCGCGTCTTCGTCGAGTTTCTGCTATCGAAATAATGGATCAAATAATTTGCATTAAATTTTGTGCAAAACATGGAATCAAGTGATCAAAAACACTTGAAATGTTTACAGTGGCATACGGTGATTGTACTCTGAGTCAGAAAAATATGAACAAAACCGTCGCATAAGCATCGCTACGGAATTGTTGAATGACGTCAACGGCGATCCAAGGACCAATACAAAGAAAACGTTCGATATTGTGGGAAAAAAATGCATGGCTTTTGCATCACGATAATGCATCTGCTCACTCGGCATTGCTTGTTCGTAATTTTTTTGTCAAAATCAACACTGTAATCAGGCACCAGCCACCATATACACCTCATTTTCCCCCCTGCGACTTTTGCTTGTTCCCAAGATTGAAGAGATCGATGAAAAGACGACGTTTTGCGACGATTGAGGAGATGAAAACTGAGAGAGCTCAAGGACATTCCTAAAGGTGCATATCAAAACTGCTTCGAGAATTGGAAAAAACGCTGGCACAAGTGCATTATATTTGAAGATGACTACTTTGAAGGAAATAAAATAGACATTGGTGAATAAATTATTATTATTTGAGGAAAGTGAAAATTTACCATATTTTTTTAACACAACTCGTACATCATTCATGAAAATTATGAAAAAAATTAGGCCGACGATGCTACTTTGTGAAATTTCGATATTCCATGATGATATTTCTGATTTTCATATTTTTAATAGATGATACACACTTTTTGAGAACGTTAAGTGAGATAAGATTCAGCCCATTGTAGAGCATAATCTAATATGAGTGTTTATTATTGTTAATATTTGTAAGTTTCAATAATATCTCTTTGTTTCAGATTGTCCTGGCCTACACTGACATGGACGAGGCGCGGACCTTTGTTCCTTCCGTGTGAACTGAGATCCAAAAAGGACCAGCTCAAATTTGCACGTGTTTTCCATAAGGAGTGGCTTAGAACTCTTGCAGCTATATTACTTAAATACAAAAATTTGAGAATTTTGTGAGATGAATTATCACAATAAATTTCTTGTATAACAAATTTGTTAAATTGCTGATGATGTATGTAGATATCTGAAAGATTCAATCTGAGATATGACCACTAGTGGAGGTTTTTTCTGTAGATAAGATTTTTATTGAATTATAATCCATGCAGTGCACTTCCTTAAAGACATACTCACTCATTGCATACATTGTGTGCTGTGATTCGATGCATAAGCAATCTGGATATTTGGCCTATATATTCTTTATCACAGCTGCGACAAGGTATACAGTGAACTACATTGCGAATCTCTAGCTAGGGATTCACTTAAACATTTACTTTTATCATTTGACTTTAGTATGCACGTTAATGCAGATACTCGTATTTCTCGATTCTCTGCATCTCGTATTGACTATGTATGTAGCAATCTAGAAAAGCAGATATAGTCGTGCACGGTTACCTCATCCGGATTATCGGATCATGAAGGCGTAATATGTTCTTCATTTATTTATTTATTTACAGTCGCATCGACCTCTAGGGTCATTAGCGACTTGTCGATATATTACATGGAAAAAAAAAATTAGAGAGTATGTAACAAATTGGTATTTCTGAGGAAAGCTAATAGATTATTAATATCACATTCATCTCCTAATATGTCCTTTATTGATGGTGGGAAGCCATAAGTTTGTCTTTCATTGTGATATAGCATGCACTCGGTGAGAATATGTTTAACACTTTGTGGACTATCACACACTTCACATACTGGGGGATTTTCTTCAGATAGTAGGTATCCATGGGTGAGACGAGTGTGGCCTAGACGAAGACGAGATAAAATGACCTGGGCTTTTCTTTCATTGGGGTTGTTTTTCCAAGGAGATACTGACTGTTTTATCTCATGACGTAATATGTTCTGTTCTTCTAGAGTCGCCAAAGAAACATACTATATGTAAACATGGTAGACTGTATAGTAGATCAAACTGTGATAGGTTCTATCAGAATGGTATCGGAATTGACTGGGAGAGTAATCTGACCAAAGATAATCCTTTCTTATCATTTCACAGCATGTTATTGGACGTGTGTGATAAGTATTTTTCTATACAGAAAATCAAATCGAAGCGTAAAAAGCCGTTGGTGACGAAAGGACTGAAAAATTCCTCAAAAAAGCAATTCCATTGTTCAAAAGCTAAGCAGCACTATTCGCGTGCCTTATGATCCTTTATTCAATCTAGAATAATATCGATGATAGCCTCATTTTGTACAGCACAGATATTAATGAATTAATTGAAACCTTGAACGACATCAAAAATAAAATTACCGCTGGGTATGATGAGATTTCTGTAAAAATACTTTTGAATCTATCAGGCAATGCATTGGAAACTTTAATTAATCTCATTAATGCCTCCTTCGAAACTGGCTCATTCCCTCCTTCTTTTAAGACTTCAATTGTTATTCCCCTACATCAAGGTGGTGATTTGCATAATCCCTTCAATCTGCGGCCCATTTCTCTAATTCCAACCTTAGCGAAAATTATTGAAAAATTAGTGAATAAACGATTGAATGATTTCTTAAACTAGCATGATGTCATGAGTAATAACCAATTTGGGTTCCAGACGGTAAAAGATACAAGCAATATTTTCTTTCCTTTATAAACTTTATAAAGAAATAAATGCTGGTGAAGTAGCTGCCGCAATTTTCTGTGACCTTTCGAAGGCTTTTGATTGTGTTAATCATGAATTATTACTCAAAAAACTTCACCGGTATAACTGCAGAGGGGTGACGTACAATTGGTTTGAATCGTACCTCTCAGGCGGAAATCAAATGGTAAGAACATCGGAACTCTGGAAAGCAGGGCAATCACATCTGGTGCGACACAGGGTTCTGTGTTGGGTCCGGTTCTGTTTTTGTTGTATATTAATGATTTGACTATGATAGATATATCTGGCACTTTTACTCTATTCGCAGATGATACAACAATATTGTGGAAGGAAAAAAAACCCAGAAGAGCTACATAAAAAGATATCATCTGATTTAGAAAAGGTGAAAAATTGGTTTGATGCTGATTTATTATGCTTGAATATCTCCACAACAAATATAATAATATTTAAATGTCTGCTAAATGAACTGTCAATAGACAATGATATCTTGGAAAATAAATTGAACACAAAATTTCTTGGTGTCTATATTGATAATAGGCTCAAATTTGATGAACACGTCAGGCAACTCAAGAGTAAAATCTCCTCCGGATGTTATGCAGTGAGGGTGGTTTCTAACGAGCTGGTTTTACACACAGCAAAAACGGTTTACTACGCTTTAATTGAGTCCCAAATAAGATATGGAATACCATTTTGGGGAACATGCAGTGCAACCTTTCTCTCATCTGTGCTGATATTACAGAAAAGGGCAGTAAGATGTCTCTGTAAAGTCAAACCTAGGGAATCATGCAGAAATTATTTTGCGGCCAATAAGATTTTAACCGTCGTTGCACTGTTCATTCTTGAAACTGTATGTTTGGTGCACAAACATAAAACGGAGTTTGACTGTGTCTCTTCGTCTTATGCTACTCGTAATAGCATATTTAATATAAGACTTTCTATACCTAACTCAACATTAATCAAGCATTCCATTTTTTATAATGGTGGAAAATTATTCAATCACTTACCAGTAGATATAAAGTCTCCAAATCTGACCAACGTACAATTAAAGAAAGCAGTTAGAAATTTGTTATCTGATAGACCCTATTATAGCTTGCAAGAGTATTTTAATGAATCATTTTAAAAGTGTATTCCATTTTATATTTATTTTTATTGTATTTGTACCTGTTTTATTCAAACCTTTATTAATTGCCAGTTTTTATCTATACACCATTAGTTATTCTTATATTCATACCTACAAAGCTTTGTCGATGGGATACAAAATCTTATGACAATAAAGTATATTTTGATTTGATTTGAACAGTTTATGCAGGGAGTTTTATTATTTTCAGCTATTCATTTTTATTCTTCTTCTCTGATTTTTATTTCTTCTTTTTTAGTTCTTTCAGGCAATGGAAGTTCGAACTAATGAAATTTATCTGTGCTAGGTTCGCCTAACTCTTCTATACTTCTAAGCTGTTTTAATGGTTTATCTTTCATTATATTTCGGAAGATGGAAGATTCGTAATTGATGTATTTCATATTAAATATTGCTTTTACATGATTTTGTACAAGTAAACGCTTATTTTAGAATCTTTCAAGAACTATTATACTATTCGCATACAAATCTGGGATCAATGTGTTTTCAAACCATTCCACGAAAATTAGCTTCCATGTTCTTATGATAGTTAACATTGCAGTCCTCAAGTTTTTTTCCACATAATTTCAAAGAACTCGGAACCCATACTTACTTCCTCTGCAATGGACAGTGATTAGTCGCGATCCTTCGTTTGCAGGCATGTTAGGCGTACACATTCTCGAACCATCAGTCCATCATTTCGTAACTGTGTCGTGAGTGTCATACCAAGTTTCATTTAAATAGTTTCATATTTAGTTAATTGTTCTAAGTATTTGTTACGGAATTCCACTATTCTCCTGCTTTCCATAACTGTTTGACGTTTGTTTATTACTTCAAATATAAATTCTAGTTTCTTTATCCAATTCTGAAGAGTTTTGTCACAGCAGCTCACGTTATGACCAAAAGTATTCAATTTCTTCTCCATGATTTCAGTTGTAGAAATCTCATTGCGTTTGTAACAGTCGTATATTGTTTTTTTAATGAATTTATTAGATGAACATTAAAAGGTTTTGATAATCCCTTATTACATCGCGCCTGGCGTTCATAAGGTTTGCTTTTGACTATTTTACGCCCTGTTGAGAAATAGTCTAAGAGTCAGTGAGCGGCTACCTCCATGTATTTGACCAGACTTAGTTTTTTGTACATTATATGGGACCTCACTAAGCCCAAAGTGGTGGACGCGGTGAGTGCGGTATCAATTTTTTAGTAATTTTACATGCATTTGACGATGTTTTCCGTTTTGATATTTTGAAATATATTATTATTGTGAGCGGAAAATAATAATGGCTGAACAATACCTTGCGTTCAACATTGTGGCAGACATATTTTAAAATGTTAAAAATAAATGTTTTTCAAAGTAATTGACGAGATCTGACATTGCTACATTTCACTTATTATAGTTTCAAGAACTTATATTAATTAGGGCAGAAGTATTCAGTGCGTACAAGCATCAGAAAATAACAAAATCTGAGATACTACCCGGCCGGATGTCTATGTATTACGATAACTGTTTTACATCAAAATAATGTATTTATGATTTACTTAATCACTCCAAAGTATTACTATTGTACTCATTCTAGCCTATAATATTTTTTCTGATATTTACTACCTGCCATTTGAATAATATAAGATTTATACCTGAGACGGTTCTATTATAATCCCAAATCTAATGCTTTCCGTCAGATGTATTCAGTATATTTGTCAACCTTCATATCGTCGGCTTACTTTCAAAACCTCCTAAGTCTGATTTTTGGTGTTTACAAGGTTTTGATACAAATATATTTAAAATATCATTGTTTACCATCCTGCAAAAGCTCCTAAGTCCTGAGTGATGATAGCGACATCTATTGGACGATATTGAAACCTTCTATGTTGTTGCGTTACAATGTCATGCGTCAAAAGCTTCTAAGTCTGCGTTTTGAATTCGGCCATCGTTGTTCAAGAAAGTGCCCGCGATTTTCAACCGAATAGTGTTTTAAATTCTACCAAATAATAAAGAAAGTGAGTTTTCATTGATATATAAGGTGAGTAATGTATAATTAACTTTTATATGTTGATCATTAGATTTTGAGTTACTGAATTTGACCAGGTTTGTTGGAAACCGACTTAAGAGGTTTTGATTTACACTGCTCTATGACAAAATGTTCCCGAGAAGTAGACTTATGCGGTTTTGATTACTGTCTACCTGGTAATTTTTTAATTTAATTTTCACTTCTTTTTCCTTTATTTTAAGATGTACGGGGGTATGAGTAGAAATAAATTCATGTTATCCTTAGTTTCAAAGAATGAAAATAATGATGAATCATCTTCCTCAAGTATTGATGATACTTCGAATCCATTATTG